AAATTTAAAAAAAAAAAAAAAAAAAAACTAATTTCATCGATATGTACATGCACTAGTTCGTGGAAAATTTGAATCTATGACTTTTTGGTCAATCGAAAAGATCTTTGGAGGGAAAGAGCTTGTGATTTCTAGCCCTCCCACGCTTTTTCGAGTCAAAGTTTAGACAAACTTCTCTCCAAACGTGGAGAAGAACTCTAAAAGGTGACGAACTTTAGGTCTTTAACCCTCTAAAACTTTAAAGGTTCAAGTTTGGATGAATTTTAACACAAACGTCGTCGAGATGAACCCCAAAAGAAAAACTTTGAGGGACATACATCTTAATTAGTTAGGCAAAATTGTCTATATTCTAACAATATAATAAAAATTTGTTTAATGGGTCCTTATATAAACTTTATTACTCCTCAAAATTAAAAGTTAGCATTAAAATTTAAAATATTAGATTAGAAACAAGATTAAAAGTTAAAAATTTATTAAAATTCAAGTTCCAACACACTCGTGATCATGAATTATTGGGTGAAGAAAGAAATTGATAAGTTTGGAGGGAGAGAAACGGTGTCGTTTTATGAAGCAAACCGAAGAATTGTCTGGTTGACAAATGGAATTTGAGAGACGTGGAGGGAGATTTCAAAGGTTACATAATTAAGTTTGGAGATAAATTCTATCCAATTGATGATAGCCTTTAGAAAGAAATAATAATGCTACATACCAATGATGCCCCCCCCTCTCTCTTTCTATATATTATATGCGTTTAGTGGGTGGAGGGTCCAACCCTTCTTCATTCCCTAACTTTATCTTAAAACCCTTATTTACATTCAAAACTATATATTAGTTCCTAATTATAAGATCGTCACACTTCCCCCTCTATTTTCTACGACTATTGCAACATTGAAATGACATAAATATGAAGTAATTAGGTGTTTGGTGATAGCTCAAATTTATTTCATATCTGTCTTTTCAGTCGATATCATTTTTGTTGTTGTTTAACACTTTTTGGCACTCCAAACACTTGGTGAGTTGTTTGTTTTACCATTTATTTTGGTATTTCTCTATATATATATATTTTTTAATATCCAGCTGTTCACACACTATTGGGCTTCATGTAAAGCCCAACGGTACAATCATGCGTGATAATGGTCGGAGCCTGAAAGCGCTTTTATTTATTTTATTGAAATAAAAAAAATAAAAATAAACTAATTATTAGACAAATCGAGGATTAAAAAATAAATAAGTGTTTAATTTTTAATATCAGTTTGATTTTCACTAATTTTAATAGAAAATGGTGTAAGAATCTTTATAAACTCGATAATTCTAATTATATAAAATTTTACAAAAAAAAAAAAAAATTGACGTATGCAAAAATTAATTATGGGATAATTTTACTAAAATTCATAAATTTCAACCCAAAAAAAGTTTTAATATTGTTTCCTCTTAAATTTTATTATTATATTTTTTAACCATAGATTGAGAATTTTATTAGATAATGAAAATTAACATTGCAATTTGCATTTTAGAGTTAAAGAAATTTACGGTAAAAAGATTTTTCTTATGGATACATAGTCGGGCAAGTATGCCCCCGTCGTCTAGTGGTTCAGGACATCTCTCTTTTAAAGAGGCAGCGAGGATCTACGAAAGGAAGTGGATAATGAATTATTGTTAAAGATATTTAGTAATAAATTATAGTTTACCATATATATTATATTTGATATTTTATTATAAAGTAAATATTTAATATTTGCCTTATTACCATGTAACTTTTCATTTATTACTCTTTTCATATCATTGTAATTTATTTAATTATAAATAAGATAACTTTCACTACCATTTAGGTGTGGTGGATTAATCAAACATTCTTAATTATCAATAAACTTCGAATTGATTCTTCCTAGGTCAATGCCCGAGCGGTTAATGGGGATGGACTGTAAAAAAAAATCTACATAGAAAGAAATCAACATTGTACACTTTATTTTCTCGGGACTGTAGTTTAATTGGTTAGAGCATCGCCCTGTCAAGGTGAAAGCGGCAGGTTCGAGCCCGAGTTCAGTTGGTGGATTGAGGAATTGTTTTTGTCCGATTCAAAAGTTTGGGTTTTGACAAAAGATATAAAACTTAATAAATCAATCTAACAAACGAAAAACGAAAATATTAGCTGTTAGATGGCTTTTTTCTTTGTGCGGCAGTAAAAAAAAACATGTTTTTTTGGAGAGAGATACTATTTTATCAATCGAGTCACAGGTATGTAACATATTCATACCTAACGATTTTCCACAAAGTGGTGACGAAAGGTATAACTTGTACAAATCTTTTCATTTTCCAATTCGATCCCATCCATTCGTTTGTTAGCTGTTGATGACTAAGTAACCATTGAATTACCATTGGCCTAAAGCGCGTAAGAGAGAAAAGCCTAAGTCCCAACATAAAAGAACCTTGGGTCACTAAAGACCTTTCACTAATCAAAAAGCCCTGACTTACTCTATTCTGGTAGGGTCTGGGATTTAGAAAGATAGGAAAGTAGCCTGCTTCAAATCAAATTGTTGAGAGGCGGGCCTGAGAGCAAGAAATAAGTAGTACTTTCATCATCCAACACCTCCCCTCGAACAAAGCGAGGATTTGCCAATCTATTGGCACAGCTAAGTTTAGGGCATGACTCTGATACCATGTTAGATGAACACGACTCTCCACAATAGGATGATATTAGTATTCCTCACTTATAAACCCATGATCATTCCCTAAATTAGTCGATGTGGGATTTTCATCATCCAACATTAGCACGGATTATATTAGAAAATAATATAGCTTTTAATCCACAGCCAACAGAAAATAAAACGTAGCATAAAGAAAAACATGAAATGCGAGAAAAATAAATAAATAAAGACATGGAGACACAGACAAGGCGAATCTTAACATCATCAAACCCTAGACCAGACAGCCATTTGATATGTCCGATTCTTCCAGTGCTCTAAACCGTATCATTCCTGCAAGTTTGAAAACCCTAAGAACCTTAAATATGAACTACAAAAATAGTTGCTTTGTTTATGTAAAAATACAATAATACCCTTTTTCTAACGTCGTTGGGAGTCCCAGAAACCGACCCAGCTGCGGAATTTGGAATGTACCTTGCCCACTGTTGTGACAACGTTAATTTATTTAGAAGGAATTAAGAAAATAAATAATTAAAAAATTACGTTTTTTGCTGCGGCACTGAATGCTTCTCGATGTGGGATTTCTGGGTTGGCAGCTTTGATGCGTTGGATCTCCTCCCTAACACAACAATATATTGTCAACAAGACTACTAACAATTTTTTTTTTTTTTTTTTTTTTTTTTATTCCTTTTCTGCTTAATCAATTAACTCTTCTTACTTCATGAAACAATTGTAAGCTGATGGGAGTCTGTGTTTCTTCTCTGGAGCTGTAAAATAAATAAATAAATAAATAAGAACCCTTTCGATTCGATTTTTTAAATACTTTTTTGTTCCAAAAAAATACGGGTATAAACTTTTCAATAATATCCTTAAACTTTAAAAAAAAAAAAAAAAATCTAAAAAAATGTCTATACCATTAGTTTTGGACCTTTTAAAGAGTTCAAAAATATATTTAAATTTAAAGAGTGTAATATGTTTTCCAAATAATAAAAATAACATTAACCACCTTTATCTTTATTATAAAATTTTTTAAATATTCTTACGATTAATATATTAATAAAAATCGTTTATCGACATCTCTTAGATTATCTATAAACGTTTTAAAGTTCGTTCATGAATATTTGTTTTTGAAGNTTTTTTTTTAAATGTTTAAAGTTTTAGTTTTTTTTTTTTTTTTTTTTTTTTGTTGAAAGTTTAAGTTATTATTGAAAATTTTGAAAGTTTATGGATATTTTCGAGACAAAGTACAAAATTGAAATATTTATTTTTTATTCATCTGGTCTATTTAAAGTCTTATTTTTGTTTTTGGAATTTAACAAGGATTTCAAATATTTTCCTTTAAGATTCATGAATATCCACGTGAAGAAATTGTAAAAAAAATAACTCTAATATTTAAAAATAAAAAACGAAAAAACTGAATTTTGTTTGATAATCATTTGATTGTGTATTTTCATCTGAGAAAAATAAATTTAATCTTGGATCGATTATATTAAAAACAACTTGAATTAGTAATAGAACAGTAAAACATACGTTTGACAACAAAACTTGGAGAGGGAGGTTCATTTGGCATTGAAGATGACGACGAAGTAGACGATATCGATGCACCCTTTCGAGTATCATTAGAGAAGCCAACCTGAGGCTGATTGTAACAAGATGAATATCAATTAGTTTGATCATTGAAAAATTCTTATAACTCAATATCAATATCACTGTAACTACTTGTGGAGGTCACCTGAAAAGTGAGAGGATGATGATCAATGCATTGGCCTTGTAAAGGTGGTATTGTGCTCAAAAACGACAGATTACTACAATTACCGCATTTCACTGTCACTGTCTCCAACAAACGTCTGCATGGAATCCCAACCTTCCAAACCCAACAAAATCCAACCAAATTTAGCCATCAAACTCAAATTTAGCTGTAAGTGATATTAATTCTAGTGTAATTAGCAAACAAGGACTCCAATAATCCTCTTATGGAGCAAACTACAATTGAGTTATCTATATCCGTCTAGCACTATCCAGACAACTCTTTTTCTCTAGAACACATTGGTAATCCAATAGGATTTTACTACGGATCTTCAGTCATAGAAGCTCGGGGAGGATTGATAGAATCCTATATTAGCTAATTAAAGAAAAAAATCATGGGTATATAAAAAAAATACACGATCGTCAAAAGGAAAGCCATGAACACGTATACTGAAAGTGGATCGTAAAATTGAGTAAAGACGAGAGAAGGTTACCGCAAGAAGAGTGTTGCAAAAGTTGCATTTGACATAACAAAGATGGTCATTTGGTTGAACCAAATCCATGGAAGATTTGTCTTCGGAGCTGCCCATTAATGTTTGAGAGAAGGAGAATTGTGGGGAAGGAAGGTTTGTTTGAGCTAAGGCAAGGGTTTTAGCATAATGAAGAGATGAGAAGTGGGTCTGTTGAGGAAGGGCTGCTTTTGTGGGTGCAATGCTAAAAATGGAACCTTGAAAAAGAAAAGGGCTAAAAGCACGCAGGTTGTTTTTTAAACAAGGCATTGCCATGAAATGATACGTCCATTCCTGGTTGCCAAACATGGTAATAATGCCATTCTTCCACTTCAAATCTTCACCTTTCTATGCTTGTATAATTGTACTTGCCAATGTCCTTAGCTAGGGTTTGCCTTTGGCTCTTTGTTCTTCGTCCTTTGCCTTTGCCCACCAGATTCCTTCAAACTTCTTCCACTACAAACCACTTCATTCTGCATGCTTTTGTTTTGTAACGTTTTTACACAATACCCCATTAAATCTATTGTCACCTCAACTTTGTACCCTTTTCGGACTTTCGAATTTTGGGTGTTTTGGAGCGTGAATCAAAGATTAGGATGTAACTAGCTGTGTTAGGTTGAATTATGAGTGTTCTTTGAATCAACGTTCCAACTTGATTAACCTATTAGAGGGAATAACTCATTTCAACCCAACCCTTGTATACCTGGTTGCTAGTGGTGACTAAAGATATGGACTACTATGATGACGGACGACAGACTACTAGAGAGGATTGGGACGAGAAAAGGATGGGGAAGGTGACATCGAGATGGATGGTTGAAGGTCGAAGGAGACGAGGGGGTCGGGACGATGAGATGAACAATTAAAGATTGAAGTGATGGCAACGAAGATAGAAAGTGAAAATGAAGGACAAAGAGATGGATAGATGTTCGGGTGTGTTAATGACCGAAGGAGATATTAATCGTGCGAAGTAATAAAGGGAACGAAGACTTGAAACCCTAATGCTAAAATTTCTATAATCAATTATTTTTAAAAAAAAAAAAATCTAAACAACTATGACCAGAAATGAAATTAGTATAATTTGATTGTAGTTAACATGTATTATATTTCTCGAGATTCAAGGTTCAAATCTTCCCATCTGATTTCTAAGAATGATGATGGAAAGAAATTGGGATGTAATCGCGTATTTGAAATTTTAAACGAACAAGTTTGTCGATATTTACCCTTTTTTAAAAAAAAAAAAATATAATAAGTTTGTGTTCAATAAGCATGTTCTATGCCTGCCCACATTCTTGTAAGTCAAACTGCTACAACTTTGATGTCAAATCAGTCAAAAGTATCACATTTTCCATATAATGTTAGTAGTCTTCAGATTTTTTAGTCCTTCTATAATTATATATAAAATGAAGTAATAAAAATACTTATAAAATTAAATTTTTTTAAATAATATCTTAAACTAAAAAATTAAAAAATATATATATAATTACAATAGATGGAAATCTTTAATATTTTATTTTAAAAATATATTTAAATTTTTAATAGTATTTTAAAAATAATGTGAATTTAAAAAGTTTTATTAATATCATTTTTTTTTTTTAAGAATTTGAAAATATCCTTATTAAAACCATGTTTAAAAAATACTCAAAGTAGCATTAACCCCTTTTATTGTTTATGAAAAAATGTTTAAAACAATTCTTACTGTCAATATATGGTGATGTATTTTTGAATTTTTTAAAATTGTTTAAATGTGTTTTTAAAAAGTTTATGGTATTAATAAAGAAGCTTTTGAAAACATATTTGAAATATTTATGAAAGTTAATACAAGTATATTATTTATTATTCGATCAATGAACATCTGGTCGTTGTAGTATAGTGGTAAGTATTCCCGCCTGTCACGCGGGTGACCCGGGTTCGATCCCCGGCAACGGCGATAATATTTTTGATTTTTTCTTTCTTTCCAAAAAAAAAAGGAAAAAGAAAACCCCGCGCCATAATTAACAAATGGAGGGAAAAATATGAATCCAGAATTGGACTCGTAATTTTTGTTTTCACCCTTCTTGTTCGATACATTTCTCTGTCTTTGCTAAAGACTCGAATGGACCAAACCCTATTTGAACCTGATTCTCCACTGATTGCAATCATTTCATTTTCAGTCGAAGATAGAGCAGGGGAGCGCTGTGGAGGCATTAGAAGCAGTGGAATCGCTTAGAGTTTGATTTTCCTTTACCCTGCATCTTTCGATTTTGTTTTCAATTATTGATTTTATGTTTGTGTTGATAATGTTCTAGTGTTGCTCTTCTCTATGAGAGATCTTCTTGTTGCTTGCTTTTAATGGATTGTTATCTCTTCAAGTATAAAGCATGTGATGCATATTGGTACCGTGAATCGGTTCTGTTTGGAACTCTGTTGTTTACTTTCTGACACGGTCGCTTGGTCCTAGTGAAAAAGAATTTTGTTTTCCCGATGTGGCAGGATATGACTACGGAAAGTTACTCAAAAGCATGCAATAATTGAGATTCAAGTTAGGATCGGGAAGGGATGGCCTTAATCCATTTAGGGGACGTTTGGAGCAAGAAGTAAAGTTATTTAATCTTGAGTTGTTTAGCTTCGGGAGTTAACTAATCTGAGGAATTATTTAATCTGTGTTTGGGAGTTAACTAATCTGAGGAATTATTTAATCTGTGTTTGGGGTGAATTGGAGGTGTGGAGTTGTTAAAATCACTCATTTGTTTAGATTGTTGTCAGTTAGTACCGATTAAATCTCTTTATTGTTAAGTTTTTGATTTGATTTGTTTACTGTTTTGTTATCCTATTTTCTGCAAGATTTTTAGGTAGATTTTCTAAATATCTTTTTGTATTGTTTGTATATATATAGAGCATTCTTGCTCTTCATACCATAATTTTCTTATCAATCATTCACTCTTTTCACTAACAAACAGAAGTCAACCATTTTATTCCATTCACTTCTCTATTTGATATATTGCTGAGGTAGTGATGAGTTTCTGAGCTAATCTTGACATACTGAAGGTGTGAGCCTATAGTTTTGAAGTGGGGTGTGAAGTGAAGTTAGTCTTTGTCATGTCAAATGCAATTTTGATTGGATAATCATGAATGTTGGAGTCAACTTATGTGCACTGCAGCAATATCAAGGGACTACTGCGGTAGTGTACAGACATTTGGTGTTGAAAAACTATACAAATACTTGATTTCTTAGGTAGACAACATTTAAAGTCTCAACCCGTGACTTTAACTCTCTTCGACCACCAAGCTGGTTCATTGTGGTTCATGTCAAATGTATTGAAACTCACATGATCCATTGCATTAAGAATTATCTATATGAGAAATTAAGCATTCAACGATTCAAATCAACAATGAGATTTTTGGGGATGAGACTTAATGTCTTTGGTAGCTACGTTAATGCCACAAATGGCATAAAGTCATCGTTTGTATTGGAAGATCGATTATTAAAAGCCATATTTGGTATTCAAATATCCACTTAAAAAGAAATCAGGAAAAAAAATACCAATAAGCATTAGGGTTTGAGTTATTGAGGCGAGATGGACCTATTCCTCAGAGGAATTAACACAGGACAAGTAATCCAAAGGTGGCCTCGAAATGTTGCTTCATCCAATATGGTATATTCTTTGTTGTCAAAGTGTAGGGATTCAATATCACTTGCCTTTTTAGTCTCTACTGTTTGAACACCCTTTTTAGAAAGATTTGTATGAACTGGGTTTGACAATGCTACTAAGGTTAATATCATACATTTATCTGTGGGCAAAGGGTTAGAAAACACGGCAGAACTCTCTTGATGAATAGAGGAAAGGATTTGCTCGGGAAATTCGGCCACATCCCCTCGATAAGATAATAAAGAAAAGGAAAAAGGTGGAACTGCGGGCCTTGCCAAATTTTGTAGCTTATTTTTGGTTAACTATTTTGTAATTATTATTCTTGGTGCAGTTTTTTATTTGCTACTTTCATTGGGGACTTAACTTTTCTCTTCTTTTATAACTCCGACCATATTAGTTAGAACCGATGTCTCTTGTTAAAAAGAAAGGAACAAAGGGAACTAGAAAGGAATAAGTTTCCATTTGTGCCCTTGGTATCGTGAGGGAAATGCACACATGAAAATCTCAAATGCAATTTAGTTCCTATGTGCTAAACATTAAACAGGCCTGAGATACGGAAATGGATGTTATTTTTGGAACTATGTCTTGAGTCATTCAAATGGTTAAGATGATCTTCGTTTTGTGTTAACTAGAATCTAAAAGACTTCTTGTTTGTTTTGGGGATATTTCATAGCATGAACTGATTTGACGTTTCTCTACTTCAAACATTTCAGTTTTTTCAACAATTCTTTCCATTTAGTTTAGTTGGAAAAAGGAACCTGTTGGCTGTCATCAACTTTAGTCTGAGGGAATATGTCAATGCATCTTGGACGCAACAAATACAAGTGTCCTGAAGAACATTGGAGGATGCTCATTATTTCCGCTGTAGGACACCGCCATATGGCATATTTTTTATTTTCTCATCCAATTCAGATTCTGATGTTTCAGATAGCATTCACATATTGATTATCAGAGAAATTGTTTGGGACCATTGAGGCGCTCTACTTGCCAATTGTATGGTTCAAAATTTGGTAAGGTAAATCAAGCATGTCAACCAACCATGCAGAGGAGAGGAGGTATTGGTACGTAGATACATGTACCTTTAGAGACCCAGTTGCTAATCAATACCCTTTCTCCATTTCTATCAACTCAGCTTAATAGAATTGTGTGAACTTGTATCCGGATTTGTATTTATTATCACTATGTGAAGCATGTTCAGACCTGATCAGTCTGAGTTGACAATAAATAGCTGTATGCAGAGATATAGACTAGCAAGAAGAGAGTGGCGTGCACCAAATCTAGTGCAGAGGATTCTTTTTCAATGCAAGAGACCAACTCAATGTGCTTATGGTAAAATGAACAGAATTCCTTGTAGCAGAATAAAATCATAACCAAATATTCTTCTCTTCCCCATTTTATGAAGCCCTTTTTTTTTTTTTTTGTTTTTTGATATCAACTTATTTGGAAGGACCTGTACTTTATGAGGGTATCAAACATTCAACGATGCCTCAAGTCTTTTCTTCAAAGTGGGCTCACAAACTTGTTAGGAGAGAGAATTAAACTCAGAAAATAGAGTAGGGTTGTCTATATAAGGATCCTATCTATAAAAAAATTTCTATTTTATCACTATTTTTGGATTAAATATTGAGCTGTGTCTGAAATTAGGAAAAGAAAGTACTTAAACATGTTGTTTGGCGTGGGGCATGTGTATAGATATATTCATGTCAGACGGATACTTTACCATAACAAAATATACATACTTCTTAACTAACATTGTTACAATTTAGGGTCCAACTCTTATATGTTTCAAAACTTCAACTTGTTTTTGTTTTTGTTTTTGCTTTTGTGCTGGTAAGAATTTGTTGAAAATTAGGACAAGGCAATTGCTCTGATAATACTCCAATGGTATTTGGAGGTCAAAATGTATTCACTCAGTTCCTATACCCCAATTATTTTTCTATTGAAGGTTTAAAAAGAAGTTAGTGGTCATTATTGACAAGTTTGATAACTCCTACTATCCTTCGACTACAAGAAGTTAGTTATGAATCAAGTACTAATGGTGACAATCTAATGCTCCATTTCTCAACTTTCCAAACACTAACTTCCAAATCTCTCAATGATCTATTCCATTATTCCATTGAAGGTGGGGTCTTCCTAGGGTCCCAATATGGAAGGAAAAAAAAAAAAAAAAAGAAAAAAGAAAAAAGAAAAAAGTCAAGCAACCATTGCCTTCCATCTGTATGATCCAAGAAACCAGCCACAGCATTAAATAACTACGAGAGGTCTTATCACAATGGGCCAATGCGTCACCTAAGCTTATCCACTACTTAAGACTTCAAAAAATTTGCACATTGGACAAGAGAGAAGTAGAAGTAGATTGGAGTGGACTTTAGAACTTTTGAAATCAGTATTCCAATAATGTCATCCCTGTGTAGCTTAGAAAATGGAATCCAAATGCCTAATTTTCTGAGCACAGGAACTAAATAAGATTTGTATTGACGAGCGGAGAGAAAGAAAAGAGAAACATTTAATAAATCTGTGAAGGCTGCTTTTTACAAATTTGCAGTGATGCTACAAATACATAGCAGCAACTTTCCTACAAAACCATCTGCTTTTTTCACTAACACCACACCTTATTTAGCTCTCTCTGCTTCAAAGAAATGAAGAGAACTCAAAATGGAGAATGCAACCCAAAACAAAAACGAAGGGGTGAAATGAAATGAAGAGACAGCATCCACAACTGCTGAATCCATCAACTACATACACACACAGAGATACACCGTCATACGAATCACTTAAGCCTACTCCGAAAATTGGTAATTGTCAAGTTTCGAAGCTGCATATTTATCCAAAAACCATGTCAACTTTCCTTTCCTTGGCTGTATCAACCTTGCAGGTAGGAGCGGGGAGTCGTCTCCTACATCATCAATGGCCAAATGTACTGTCTCTGCTTTGTTTTCACCTGTCACGACAATGGCCACGTTTGATGCAGAGTTGATCACAGGGAACGTGAAGGTGATTCTCTCTGGAGGAGGTTTTGGAGAATTGGTAATGAAGGCAACCCATTCATCTTTCTCTTCGAGCACTGAGTGATCGGGAAATAATGAGGCAACATGGCCATCAGCACCCATTCCAAGTAGTATGAGGTCAAACTTGGGGCTGTCACTCACATCAGACACACTTACTATGCGGGATTTTACCGACTGTCGAATGACAAACTTGTACTCATCGGCAGCTTCCTCAGCTGACACCAAATCATTGATAGAGTGTACATGGCTCGGAACAATTGGCACCTAGTGATCAAACAGAACAGATCATTAATATTGCTAAATAGAAGATAGATATGATAATGGTTGACATCACACACAGAGCTATCCGTGCTGACTGGTACAGTCTTGGTTGGAAGGCTGCCATATGGCAAGATCACATAGTTCTACATTAAAACTAACAAATGTTCCCAAGTATATGAAACAAGAACAACAAAATGCCTTCTCTTGGATTCTTCATCTTTATTAGATTAGAGTTGGTGAAATTGTTTACGCTTTCGAAATACTTATGATAATGTTTACGCTTTCAGACTAGTGTTAATAGAACATGGTAGGACATGGTACAAAGATGAATTTCCAATGTCAGTTCCTCCCTATTTTTAGTTCGACGAGGGAGTAAATACTCGAATATCTAACCTTTTGGCCATTTCCTACATATGTTTAAGCTAGATGATGTATATATTTGGGACACAATTAGAGGTCACATATATAAGGTAGTTGAAAGTTAGCATTGAAAACCTCAAGAACTCAGAGTGGTAGCTTAACAAAAGTGCAATTTTGAGCTGAAAGACCAAGAAATCCTGTCATAATGATACATATGAAATTGTAACCATGTCTTTCACCAGCTCAACTAGTTAAAACATTATATTATCGACCAAAGGTTGGAGGTTGGAATCCGGGTTGTTGAAATAAAAAAAACAAAATAAATCGACAATTTGACCAATTTGTCCCTAGGTAGGGCCCAAAGGTAACCAAAAGACAACAACAAAGAAGTTGAGATAGGAAGCTACTCTATGTTGAGTTGAGTTGAATGAAAGTATTTTATATTTTCAAGGAAAAAGCGATGATCCCAGAACAATACAGAACAGATCTATCACTTAATGTATATGACAGATAGAACATCTAATAAGAACAACTCAGTTCCTTGTTTGGTCTTTAAAGTGGAAACTAATAGCCCAAAGGATTAAAAGAAACTAATTTCCTCTGTTAAAATCCATCAAGAGACTCAGAATTTAGCAAACATAGCCATGGGAAAGAAGCTAAGGAATTGCTCTGTAGTTTTAGCTCCTCTAAGCTTTCAGATTAACAAATGCATTTGCAAGTTCCAGAAGGCCATATCCAAGTAGTAATGAGCTATTTGAACAAAAAGGTATTGAAGATAGAAGTTTAATACTCAAATCTTCTTTCTCCGGGCAAACAAATTACTTATGTAGATGAGAGTAAGAAAATCATCATTCGGGTAAGAAGGAAGGTCAGGGAATAGATTCAAAGGTTTCGAAGTTGTACTATTTTTCACTTTGATTCAGATTCCTTCATTCTATAAAGGTTTTGGTTCTGGTTCAGTTCAGGAGAGGAGGACGTTGATCGCTTTTCCATGTCTAGTCCTAGTTTCGGTTAAAGACCCAGAGCGGACTACAAATCTATACCAAGCCCGTTACGCCATAATTCATTGAGGTTGATCCCGAAGTTCTTGATTCCTTTGAGAGGGAGTAAAGCATGACTTCCCCAATTCTTCTCTTTGAGTAGTTATCAAATTGATTCAATTCGATTACTAAAGCTCATTCATGGTCCTCAAATTAGAATAGGATGTGCTTCATTTTGTGATTCAGGCATTCAGAAGAAACACATAGTGACAACTTTGTGACTCAGAAAAAGAAAAAGACACATTGTCTAAAAGAGAAGGCGCCCACCGTAGGCAAAGCAATGGAGATGTATTAGTACAAACCTTAGAAAGAAGGTTATCCTTTGCAAGCTTATAATTGCTGTCGGCATGGCTTTTTGCAACAACACGTTCATCAGCCCAAAATATATACCACTTGCCCCAGTCCACAGTCTTGTTGTAAGGAGCTTCACACAGCTTCCTGTTATTCATCCACCAAAAATTATAGCAACAACCCAAATTCACAAAGCCTCATTGAAATCAGAGAAGGAAACAAAACCATCCATACCCCATTAAGCTAATGAGTGAACCACCAGACAACGCTATAGAAAACACCCCACGTTCTTTCACCGATGCCTCTGATAATTCAGCAATATAGTCAGCTAAATCAGTACTTAGCTCTTCCAAACTTTCATGGATCCTTAGCTCTCTATCTTTATGATCCCCACATAGAGCCATAATTCACAAAGTTACAACTCCTGCACAGAAGGAAGAGAAGAAAAATGACTGATTGAACACTAAATTTTACACCATCGTTTGAAATTTGCAGAGAAGATCGATGAAGAACTTCCCTCACTAATAGCTAATGGTCAATGAACTAAAATTCAGGGCATTACAAAAACTGGCCCGCATGCAGTTCAAGAATCTATAGGTTGCTATGGACTGTGTTAAATATGGAAATTTAAGACGAACAGATCAAGAAACATTCACAAACCATATGACACTATCACATGAACCAACATGCACGAAGCGTTATTTAGACAACTAGATTGTAATTTCATTTATGGGGGCATCGCCCAAGGATCAAGAACAGAAACCCTCGATTTGGGTCGATGTCCGTGAAGCAAATGATGTATTGGAAAACGGACCCATACCCAGATCATAAAAAACCAAAACAAACAACCTCATTACAGAAGAAATACAGATTATTAGAAGAAAAAATGGTGGGATGATGTCTTGAGATTGATGAAACTACAGGAAATAGCAGAGCGAAACAGAAATAGGGAAAAAGAGATAGAAAAATTTACAGAGACAAGAAGGGGGGTTGTTGCAGACAGTGACGAAGGTGGAAGATGAGCATCGGCCCGAAATTGATATATAATTACAAGGTAATGTGAGAGAGTAGTGTAAAGGAAAAAGCCTCGCAAGAAGTTTGAGACAGAGGAATTTACCTTGTAGGCTTCCACGTGCAGCCAATGATGGTGACGCAAAAACCCACACAACGCAACACCCCAACTCTTTATTGTTTCTTTTTTTTTTTCCCTTTTCTTTCTCTTTATCCGTTACAGATAGAAAACTCTCATCCACTTTCTCTGTGTAACAGATGGGGAAAATATCCCTTTATCCTCCTGGATCAACTGCAAGAACATATCCTTGATTACCCTAAATTTTGTTGGAAATTATTTATCTTTGGGACTCTTAGCTCTTAGATTGAAAATTAGCCAAACATGTGTGTATAAGTTCAATGCTGACAAATGTA